CCCCGTCCCCCAGATCCTATGTCCACCTACAGACCCAGGGCCCCGTCCCCCAGATCCTATATCCACCTACAGACCCAGGTTCCTGTCCCCCAGATCCTGTGTCCACCTACAGACCCGAGGGCCCGTCCCCCAGATCCTGTGTCTACCTACAGACCCGGGGCTCCGTCCTCCAGATCCTATGTCCACCTACAGACCCGGGTTCCTGTCCCCCAGATCCTGTGTCCACCTACAGACCCGGGGCTCTGTCCCCCAGATCCTATGTCCACCCTACACTCCATAGCCCCGTCCCCAGGTCCTCCATCCCCCAGATCCTGTGTCTACCTACAGACCCGGGGCTCCGTCCCCCAGATCCTATGTCCACCCTACACTCCATAGCCCCGTCCCCAGGTCCTCCATCCCCCAGATCCTGTGTCTACCTACAGACCCAGGGCTCCGTCCCCCAGATCCTGTGTCCACCCTACACGCCCGGGGCCCTGTCCCCCAGGACCTCCGTCCACCCTACACTCCCGGGCCCCGTCCCCAGATCCTATGTTCACCCTACACGCCCGGGCCCCGTCCCCCGGGTCCTCCATCCCCCAGATCCTGTGTCCACCTACAGACCCGGGGCTCCGTCCCCCAGATCCTGTGTCCACCTACAGACCCGGGGCTCCGTCCCCCAGATCCTGTGTCCAACCTACACGCCCGGGCCCCGTCCCCAGGTCCTCCGTCCACGGGCAGCTGTCTGGGCTCGGCCTCCCGATCCTCGGAGGCCTCTTCCCGCTGCAGGTTTGACCTTTTGACATATAGACGGAGGCCCGGCCTGGGCTGCGGCCATGAGGTGGAAGGTATTTCACCCCTCGATTCCCGCCCTTTTTCCCCCAGGATAAAACCCTCGGATCTCTCTGTTTTGCTCTAACAAAGGCGTGCACTTGCCAAAAACACCACAAGAGGAAACTTCTGGAAGGCCGCCGCCAGAGCCTGGGCTGGGCCTTGTCTGGACAGACACTAACTACGGCGTCTCGCTGGGCCCATTCTACCCCAGGGCCTCCCCGTGCGCCTTGTCCTCCCCAGGTCTGTCTCCCGCCCAGACACCCGGGATTCTAAATATAAACCTCTGCAAAGTCGGGTCCTTCGAATACGGCAAAGGCTGCTATAAATGTGAATGGCTGACATCCCACCTTAATCATTCCTTTGTAATCAGGCCATATCTTTTTTGTCTGCTTTAAAATTAATCATTGCCTTTTGTAATCAAGCTGCAGTAATATTAACACTTCGATATCTGTGCAGTATGTGTCAGAGACCAAAGTGGCTGCTAATTAAAGCTTAAATATGAAAGGCACCTTTGGGACTTTGGTAGGGGATTTTTTTTTAAATTAAAAAATAAAATATTTTTAATTTTAGTAGGTCAAAATATTGAGATTAGAATACACATTTGACTTCACTTCTGAATGTTAAATTGACATTGGTTAAACTTTAAAAAGCGTTTTCTACTTAAAACATACTTAGAATTAAATAGGATAAATGTAAATTCTGCCACACCATCTATATATTGTTGTTGTTATGTGCTGTCGAGTTGCTTGTGACTCATAGCGACCCTATGTACAACAGCCCTAAACTCTGCTCTGTCCTGTGCCAATCCCACTGCCTGACACACCCATCCTGATTACCCCAGTCACTGAATCAATCCACTTCATAGAGGGCCTTCGCCTCCTGCACTGTCCCTCCCCTCTCCCAAGCATGATGTTTTTCTCCAAGGACTGGTCTCTCCTCACTACATGTCCAAAGTATGTTAGACGGAATCTATACATTACACGTCATTAATACTGTAGTTCAATCGGCTATAGCTTTTAGTTTCAAATTTTTACCTTAAATGCCATCAAACTGTTTATGCATACTTGTGTTTTTCAGCTTCATTGTAAAATAATTTATTCAGAAAAGTATAATGATGCAGCAAAGAATTATCCATAAGCTCATAATCCAGAGGCAAATACTAATAGCAATTGGTATTAATGGGTATTGGGAAATGGGTATTCTCAGATAGTTCCCGTCAACATGATTATTTCCCCAAATCAAAATTACTGTGAATATATAATAATGATAACAATATTGACTATTTTATTAATTAAAACAAGTTTCCTTCTTTTGAGAATAATTTTAGCAATACTTTCATAGCATAGAGATAGAAGTTGAGGCGTGGGGGAGTTAAACATCTTTCCAATGTTGTTCTTATGTGTCATGGAGTCGCCTGCAACTCAGCAATCCTACATACAATCGCTCTGAACCCCCTGCCCTAACCTGAGTCAGTCTCACTGACTCTGATACACTTACCCCCATTACCCCAAATACTGTGTCAATCCATCTCATCCAGGGTCTTTCTCTCCTGCGCTGTCCCTCCACCCTTCTAAGCACGATGTCCTTCTCCAGGAACTGGTCCCTCTTGGACACATGCCCAAAGTTTGTGAGATGAAGCTTCAAAATCTTTGCCTCTAAGGAGCAAACTGGTTTCACCCTCTCCAGGATAAACTTGTTTGTTCTCTTGGCAGTCCATATTTTGTTCAATAATCTTCTCTAGCACCACAGCTTAACTTCTGTCATTCTTAGTCAGTGCCTAACTCTCTGATGCATAACAAGTTCAGACGTACCTTAGACCTTAAATTGGTGTTATTTACTCTTTAGCACTTTGGAGAGGTCCCTGAAAGCAGATTTTCCCATATAATTTATCTTTTGATTTTCTGCCGACTGGTGCCAAGAGTGATGATTGTGGAGCTCAACAAGCTAAAATTGTTAACATCAATCCTGATGCATTCTGTTTTCATACTTTTTTAATCTGTATGAAGAACAAATAATTGAGGAGGCTGGACTGAGGAGGAATGTGGCACCAGGATTGGAGAAAGACTCATCAACAACCTGCATTATGCAGATGACATAACCTTGTTTGCTGAAACTGAGAAGGACCTGAAGCCGTTGCAGCAGAAAGTCAAGGTCCGTAATCTTCAATATAGACTGAAACTCAACATCAAGAAGACAAAGATTCTCACCACTGGGCCAGTTGGCAACACCATGATAGATGGGGAAGAGACTGAGATTATGTGGTGTTCCAATATTGCATAACCAAGATATAGCAGAATGAGCCCTGAATCCAAGAAGTTAAAATTTAATTTTGGCTTCTGTTCGTTTTTCTTTCTTTTGGAGAAGAGTCCTGAACATCCCATGAACTGCAAAAAGGACAAACAGACATGTCTTGGAGAAAGTGCAGCCAGAGTTGCCCCTTGGAAGCAAAGATGATGACAAAGCTTTATCTCATATACTTTGTTTGGTCATGTTGCTAAGAAGATACTACTCCTTGGAGAGGGGCATTATGCTTCAAAAGGTGGAGGGTCAGTGAAGGAGAGGAAGACCCCCAACCAGATGGACTGACACAGTGACTGAAGCAATGGGCTCAATTCCATCGGAGATAATGATGGCACAGGGTAGAACAGAGTTCAGATCTGTTGTCCATGGGTCACTATGTGTTCAATGACACCTACCAACAATGTTACATAATAAGCATTTTCCATTTCATTGAAAACTCTTCAAAAATACATTTTTAAAACTTCCTAATTCCCCCTCATATGGATGCATGTGTAAAATATAGATATATAGGAATGAATTTTATGTTTTTATCTACTGAGAGATGAAAAACAAAGCTGAAATTGTGGTTTCAGCCATTTTCTTTGAGCAATCATTTTGGAAGCTTATGAACTGTACCACAGCAGCCATCAAAGGCAAGGGATTCCAGAAGATAAATTATGTTACTAATTAATATCACTCCCCTCAGAATTATTTCCTGTGGACTTGCACGAGGATAGCAAGGAGTGGTTTTCAAAAGCACATTGCTATTTAACATTCCAATTTTATTAGTTACACTCAAACTCCCATTTATTATTTAACATGCTCTCTCTGTTGTGAAACTTGGCAGAATGGAACCTGGGCAGCCTTCAGGGAGTGCAGTAGCCTCACAGGCACAGGAATGTGGGAAAGAGCGATCAGAAATTCAGGAAAGAGGATAGGAGGTGAAACAAGTCGTTGCTCTATCTTCTGCGATCTTCTTTATATTCCAGGCTTTTTGTGTTTTTAAACACTGAGTGAGAGTGTTCTAGAAGTATCACAACTATAGCCATCAGCAGAGTTTTCTTAAAATCTTACTTGGTTGGGTTGACACAAATAAAATTATGCAAGCCCATAATTTAAATTTTACATTTCATAAAGAAAGAAACAAAGTAAGATATCAAAATGATGCCATCATATATTCAGTTTTATTTCCACATATTGTACAGCACTAAGGTCTTTTTCTTACAAATCTACACGTGGATTACATTCCATTATGATCAGAGAAAGAGTAGCATTACTTAAATTTATGCCAAATAAAAATGGTATATGATGTGGTAAAACTTGGGCATGCTATTTTCTGGTAATGTATCAATCGTATAATTCTGAAAAGAAGAAATCTTTAATTCAACAACTGTTTAATGACTTTCTGCTATTCATTCAACAAATATTATTGAGTGTCTCCAATGTGCCATATTAGAGAAACAACAAGATTTAATAAAAAGCAGAACTAGAGAAAAAAAAGTATTTTCCTCCCCCGGATATTTCTAACCTCATTGGAGAATTATTATATTTTTCAGCGTTTTGGCAGCAGTATAAACAACTGCGTTCAGATGCTTCAACAGATGTTCTTTAGAAAGAAAGCCAATTATTTGTGTTATGATACCCACATATGATTCTCAGATCTAAACTTTCCATCTGTACATGTTCCATTGAATTGCATACCTATGGAACAAAAAAGTTAAGATTCTCTCTCAATCTCAGATTTTTGTTTATAATAACTGTACCACCTGGGTGATGAGAAATTGATAATTGCTTTGCTAGAAGGCCTTATATAAGGCTGCATTGCTCTTGTGATTGAAAATGCATTTCCTTTACTTCCTTAGATTGATGGCATTCCTAAGTTCTAAACAAGGTTTGCAAATACCCACTAGCCCAGGGCATATATAGAGATATTGCAATGGAAAGAAGAGAAGTAATTCATTTATTTTATGTTTTACTTAGGGCATCTGTTGTAAAGGGGGTAGGGGGAACTATGTAGGTTCAATCAAGTTTAACAATCATTTATTGACTATCTTCTAAGTGTAAAATTCTATTCTGGGTAGTTGGAGGACGAAGGTCAAAAACGTCATAGACCATGCCCTCCTGGAGGTCATAATCTATCAAACGGGACCTAGCACACACAAATAACTCTCGGGAGGCTGGTTATAACCAGGCCTCACCCTTGTGCTGTGAGGATGTGATGAAGAGAGAGAATAAACTGAAAAGGAAGTTTCTGGTAGTCTCATCAAGAGAGCACATGAAGTTGGTTTTTCAAGGGGATGGAATGTCAAAAAAGAAAGCAAAGAAGGAAAGGGAATAGTGTTCAGTGAGATCAGTATTAGGAGGATGTTCTCACCTAATGTATGTAACGGAGCATCATAGAATGTTTCCAAACATGTGAGGAGCATTTCAAAGGTGTTGTCTACAATCAATTCTTGGCAATGGATGACCAACCCTAAAAGGAGATACTCATCACTAAGGTGAAGGTGCCTTGGTAGTAGAGTACATTAAGTTGGGGCCATTAAAAAGGTCAGGAATTTGAAGCTATCAGCTTCTCTGAGGAAGAAAGACAAGCAACTCCCTTCCATGACGATCCGATGGAGCGTTGCTGTAAGTTAGACCCACCTCCACTGCAGTGAGTTTGGTTTTTGGTTGGCCTCTGATGGGCCAA